AACGATGGAATCGTCTTGATGGAAAATGACACCTTTTAAATCATCGTCTAAGAAAGTTAATTTATGGTGAGATTTGGGTTTGTTCAAATTATCTGAGAAAGCTACATTATTTGTGTAGACGCTCTCGAATATTGTTTTTTAGTTGAGTTCATGTTGAAATCACCGAGAATGGGTGTCTCGTGCTCGTCTTTGAACCGATTTTTGTCTACTACCATTGACTCGTCTTTTTCCCGACTCTCACTACATCGTTGGCACCCTTGTGGAAACAATTCTTTGATTTGTTGGATGAGAGCATAACATTTTTCTGTGTCATGTCCCTGGGTTGGGTGAAATTCGTACTATGAGTCCCAATTCGGGCCTAATTGTCAGTTAGCTCTCCTCAGGTAGGTAAGTAATCTTGTAGCATTGACATCTCTCAATATCTGTTTGTTTGATATGTTAGAAGGAGTTTGCACACTTCGGGGTGATTGACGAGTGTTGTTGTCCCACCAACTATAAGGTTTGTTGTATCGACATATGCTATCTCGACAGTGGTTGTTTTTTCTCCACCCTCCCCTTGTGGTCTCTATCAAGGGCTCAATTTCCTTTCCTCGACTCTTTTCCAACTCGTGATTTCCTCAACTTCTATGTGTGATGCAGTCCGAGATCTCACTTTGAACATGTCTATTGAAGGTCTCTAGATCAACGATTCTCCAAATGGTCCCGAGCTCATCAGGCTGCGAAATCTTCACCGTTATTTCGCAAAATCATCACAAATAGTCCTTTAACAATTCGGCACTTTGTTGTTTTAAATTGAACAAGTCGCTTAACTTATGTGGTTTCAATTTATTTGTCGTGAGCTGAGCCATAAACGCCCTTGACAAATCCTCAAACGAGATGGTTCCGTTCGGTAGACCACTGAACCAATCCAAGGTTGTAGACATAAGGGTTCCTACAAACATCTTACAACGCACCCCTTCTATTTCCCTGCTGATGAGCATATGTACTCGAAACATTTTCAAATGGACAGTAGGGTCGCTTGTACCATAAAAAAGTTGCATCTTCGGCACTAGATAATGAAGAGGGATGAACTCACTCATGATGGCCATAAAAAACGGTTCCTACTTGTCGGCATCTGTCACACTGCTCGATAAATATACGAGCATCCTTAAAAAGAGTAGGCCAATAAAAAACACTATGTAGTACCTTAGCAACTGTCCTTTCTCCACTAAAGTGTCCTCCATAGTATGATACATGGCAGTGCCAGAGAATTCTTCCAATTTCTTCCTCAGGAACACATCTCTTGATTATGTCATCACCATATCTCTTAAATAGCAGTGGTTCATCCTAGAAATAGAATTTCACATCATGTAAAAAAAAATTCTTTGTTGAAAATTGAGATCATGAGGAATTATCCTTGCTGCCTTAAAATTAGCGAAATCTGCAAACCATGGCAATGAACTGACTGTGTTGTTGCTGCTCTACAACATTTGCATGTACTTCTTGTTGATTAATTTGACAGTTACCATTTTGATGCATTCCTTCACAAAAATCACATACCAAGGGTGATGTGTTAACAGTCTTAACCTGCATACCCCCTAACTGTTGAGTCAAATCTATGATTTGTTGGGTCAATAACTTACTTTAAGCTAAAATGGCATCCAAAGTACTAACTTCCACCATTCCAACTTTCTTATTTTGTCGATCAAACTGCATGTGCACTGTATTATTTGTCATTAATTTTAGTGTCTCTAAGGCTTCCTCTAGTGTTTTCAGGTTGAATGATCTTCCACTGGCAGCATCCAACATTGCTTTAAAGGTGGAGAAAGGACATTGTAAAAAATCTGCACCTGCAACCAATCCGGTAGTGCATGATGAGGGCATCTTCTTGTCAACTCCTTGAACCTCTCCCACACCTCATACAAAGATTCAGAGTCCTGTTGCATAAAGTTGGTGATCTCATTCCTCATTCTCGCTGACTTTGTTGGAGGGAAGTATTTGTTCACAAATTTGGTAGCTAAATCATCCCAAGTAATGATGCTTTCTTGAGGTTGTGATTGGAGCTAGCTTTTGGCTTTGTCTCGTAATGAGAAGGGAAAAAGCCTCAAGAGAACTGCATCGTCAGTGGCTCCATTAATTTTCAACGTGTCACATATAGCCAAAAAATTCTCCAGGTGAGAATTTGGATCCTCTAAAGGTACACCTCCAAACTGATTTTATTGTATGACCTACAACAAAGAAGGTTTAATTTTAAATTATTTGTTTGTATAAGGGGTCTCCCCTTGTAACTATTTGGATCTAGCATGAAGTAGTCCCTCAGTGTTCTTTTGGGTTGATCCATGGCTGCAGTATGTAAATTGTGATTTGCTTCTTCTTGTTCTCTTCTCCTTTCTTTTTTTTCTTTTTCATGCACTTCCTCTATTTCTTCTGGTAGTACGTTCAATTTCTGGATCAAACAGTAAATTTTCTGGTGCTACAGTACCTCACATAAACAATGTTAAAGGTACAGAAGAGAAGCAAAGAAAAAAAAAATTTGGAATAGTAAAAAAATTATAGCTCAAATCTCAAGTAAAAAAAACTTTCTAATATCAACAAAAATTTTCAATCCCCCACAACGGCGCTAGGAAATTGATGTATATTTTTGGTAAGCAGACCAAATGTTACAAAAGTAGTCATTTTATCGTCTTCAGGGATTGAATATTTGTTGAATATCAGATCATTAATTTGTCCTAAGTTTGAGTAATCAAAGTTTAAATAATCAAGGATCAAAAGAATGACAACAGAAAAGTTTGCAGTAAAATATATGCTAGAGGATTAATTTCATATCCCTTTTTACAAATTCCTAGCCTATTTAATTGATGTAATAATTAAATTTACCCACTAAAGTTAAAAGTGTTATTCACTTCCGAATTCTTTAGGTAAGCAAAATTATTCACTGAACTTTTTATTTCTCAATTCCTTGGAAGAATAAAAACTCACTGAAACTTGGATGGTTAATATTTTTCTCCACAAAAACTAGTTAAGCTTGTATAATTTTCCAATTAAATAAAAATCCAACTTACCTTATCTATCAACATAAACAATATTGATTTTTTCAAATATAACTGCTTAAAATTAAACATCAAAATCCATATATAAAGTACTGGAATAAATGAAATTACAATGCATCAAGATAAATAGGTTCATAATCTGTCTTACAGAATATTACATTAATCATCTAACATAGGAAAAAGTTTAGCCTTCCATAAAAGCTTTAAAAAAACTCAAAACCTAAAAACTCTCTACGCTGCCTTCTATGTCCCCCCTTTGCTCAGCTCTCTCTTTGTAGCTTTTTAACTCCTCAAAACTTTCCACGTCAGTCCTCTTTTCAACTACTTTTGCCTTTTCCTTTTCCAGTTCAAACCCAATAGTAAAGAAAAGAAAAGATTCCACTGCCAGCCTATGAGGGATGTCAGCCACCTAAACCCACACCAAATTTATTCTAATTGCACCTGTTTTTTTCAACAAAACAAAGAAATTACACTACAAGTTAAATACAATAATAATGCATGAAAACATTGTTCAAATATTACAAGAATGTGTACAATTGACCTAATTTAATTTATAAATGTGAAATAAAATAAACATGTCTCATGTACCGATGTTATCAATTCAACAATCAATATTTACGTATAAATATCTATCTAATATTTATCTTGTTAGTTATAGGAAGTGATACGACTTAGACACTACAATTAAGTTAATAAATTTTTTAAATTTTCAATTAGATTAAAATAGTTCTGTTAGGTTATTAACCTAATATAAAATTGTAATAAGCTAAAAATTATTATCCGTTTTAAAATATATAGTCCACAATTTTTTTTAGTTATAGTTCAGGTTGGGTTTCGCATCCTTAATTAACTACTAGTTCTACTATATATACTTTTTGTGAGGATTGCTAAATCTAATATGTGAGAAGATTTGTCCATATTCTATCACAATTGATGTTTAATTTTAATGTCGATTAAAACCATCTTTAAACAGTACACTACTCTCGAAGAAGCATTGATTAATCTCTATTTTTTAGAATTAAAAAAAATATTGATTAATGAGAAGATGATGAAAAAATGAAAAATAATTAATTATGATTGATTGAAGTTTTAGTACATTATGTAATAAATTAATATGTAACCAGGTTGATATATATATATATATATAGCTTGGCTTGTTTTAATAATTTAGAAATCATAATTTAATTTAAATAATGTTTAATTTGTTACAACATATATATGTTGTCTATTATTGTAAAACCAGTTTTGGAAAAATATTTTTGAAAAATAAAAATTAGTCCAATATTAACTCAATTTGTATAGAATTTTTAATATAAATATCTAAAAATTGAAAAAAAAATTACCAAAATAGTATTTTTGTAAAACAAAAAAAAAACAATTGACTAAATTCAAATTAATCAAATCAATATAACTGTTAACTCGAAAAAATTGTATATGATGAATATACAATTGACCTAAATGGTTAATTTAAGAACAACATCTCTTGATTGTTATGTATTCAGTATTTACTATTAATAAATTAACATAATATTTCCCAAAAAGAAGACGTATATTACTAATACTTTTATGGTCAAGCTTACGAATAACAAAATCATAATAAGAATAACTCATTGGACCAATCTAGTGTATTCTCAAGTTTTACAGAATCCCGCAAGTATTTCAAAATTTGAACTACTTCTATATTGTTATGGATTGTTTATTTTGTTTTCATTAAGTTGTGTTTATTCCTTTGCCTTAACATTGGGCTTCTGCATGTATATGTATGGAAAATGAAGAACTAACATTAGACACCAAGATATGTGACCAGGTTTAAGAACTACTTTGAAGCTATTGCTGCTACCTTTTTAATTTTTTTAATATATGGTTTCTCTAATAAACAATTGCTACTTATTCAAATCCACTTTGCACACAATAACTATCATTAATCGATTAGAAGTTTGCAACAATCAATGTCACCAAACTCTACAATCTTCACCTTTCATCTCCATTCCAATTATCCTTCTCCTTTGGCCCTGTGGGTCCTTCCTCTTCCAGCACTTCACTTGGCAACTTGCTCACAATATTTTTCAAACTAGATTTTAGCATTCCAGGCAAGTGCTTCTCAAGCTCCTTCAACTCATCATCTATATTATAATCAATTTTAGGACCCCATTTCCTGAAATAGTTCAGCCATCCAGGCTCTACAACAGCAGAACCTAAATACTCAGCAGCAACCAACTGAAATGTCCCCATATCCAAACTGTCACCTTTACCAGTATCATTCCTTATGCCTATAGCATTTATCCCTAACAGGTGAAGGCTAGCATCAGGGTAAGATGCATGGCCATTCAGGGAAGAATAATATAGTGGTTTGTTGCCACTTTGGAACTCAAGCTGAGAGGAATCAAGCCATATACCCTTACTGTGTTGTGAGAAATAGACATGCTTCAGTTCACCATTAAAGTTGCTTAGCCTTAGTGTCACATGCTCCCAATCACCAACGTGTTCACCTATCTTCCCCAATTTAAGGGTAATGAACTCAACTTTGGCTCTTGCAGGTCCATTGAATGGGTAGAATACCCATACTGCAACATCAGTGAAGGTTCCTCCAAGCATTGGTTTCACATGCACATAACTTTTGGCACTTTTCAAATCTCCTTTCTTGACCCTCTCCTTTTCTGTTGGATCAGCAGGCAGGTCTAGCCAATAGGCACCATCATTGTTAGGATCTTGAGGCAGGTTATCTTCAGTTGCTCGGACAGGACTTGACTCTTCACCTTTCTTATACAACAATGCCCCATTGGAGAAAAACCACTCCACGGAAGATGGAAAGAATTGTTCATCAGGATGCAAGCACATGGTTGGAGAGTAAACTTTCAGTATTGCCTTGATTTGTTCTAAGTTAGGCATGTATTTTGGGATGGCATTGTTGTTTTTCAAACATGCAATAGCTAGAGGGTTAGGACTCCCAGTTTGAGCTACAAACGTGCCTACTCTAACACCAGCAGCTCGAATTCCCCTATTACTTGGTCTAACGTCATAAACATTGAAGCTATCTAATCCCCAAATTAATTCTTTTGTCTCACATTGGTCAGTGAAGTCTGATCTGACACACCTGACTTTGTCAAGGGCAGGCTTATCTGGTGTGTTGGTGACAACATGGCCTACAGCTTTATACCCATCAGGTGCAGTTGGAAGCCAAATATAGATGGGCACATCTTGGTTAATCTTCAGAGATGCACTGTTCCATACCAGTGTGTAATCAAGTGGTTGCTTTAAAGTGGGGTTGCTGGTGTTTGCAGACACATCTTTTGCCACAAGAATCCATCCAAAGAGAGGCTTGTTGTTGGGTTGGCAGTAGCTACCCAACATGGAGAAACCTTGAGGTATTCCTGTTGGTTCAAACACTGAAAACCCTTGACCATCAGCCCCACCCTGATAAACGCCCCAAACCTTCATGAATGTTGATGCTTCATGCACTTGCAGGCCACCCAGATCAATTATTCCACTTGCAAAATTACCACCTGAATGTAGCATTTCACCACCAGAATGTAGCATTTCACCACCAGCAATAATCATCGTGCATTTAACTAGACTATTTAAAGAAGTATTCTGAAATAAATGTTTTATATAATAATCATTTTGAAAAGCTGTTTGAATTTGCTCATAAAAAAATTAAAATCTGTATATTTAAAAAACAAAAAATTAGACAAATACATAAAGAAAAACTTGAAATTTACTTATTTTATTAAAACGACAACCTTTTTTTAATATTAAACACAAATAAACACATTCTATATAAAAATAATAAAAGAAATCTCATTATCTTTACCTGGAGGCCATGAATTTGTGACAGGTACAGGAAGCTTGAATATGGTATCAATGGCAAGAGCTTGTCTTTTCTGGACGAAATTCCCTGCACAACATGAGGTAAGACAACTAACTATTGAGTTTTCCAAGGGGTGAATGTCCATATATGAAAAATATGACTATTATATAAAAATAGAGCTTTCTGCAAGAGGTACAATATATTCCTTTGGGGATAATTTTGAAATTTTGAAGGGTCTTCATGGTGACATAAAAACAAGGGTTACCCCAAAAATGTGCCTTACAAGAAAACTAACTTTGCAACAAGCTCCTAAACATTGTTCAACTTCACTTGTAGACCAAGTTGTTCCTTAGACAAAGAACTTGATTGTCTTATTTAACATTAAATCCCTTAAACAAAGAACTTGATGTCAATTTTCATGTGACTCTCATGTAGGGCAACATCAATAGGAACTTCATTCTGTTAAAATCTTGTGTTGCTAACTACATTACAATACAAGTATCCTATTGTCCCATGAGTTAGGATTTGTGTGCCCAAAAGTATCTCTCAATGAAATGGATCAAAAAATATACTTTGACAGTAAAATTAGCCTCACTGTTTATGGACAGAGGGTAGGAACTAGTGAAAAACAGAGCACTCTGTTATCTATGAATAAACTATGTAGTTATTATATGTTGACTGTATCAACAATCCAAGTAAAATAATCAAAACATACTATTGACTCTCTACTAAAAACTAATCGTGTTGTTCAAGTTAACTGCGTTATGTGCAAGCAAGATCTTATATAATACAACTTAACAATAAACTTATATTAGCAAATTACATTGGCACGAGATTTTTTTATAGACAAGAAATTAATGATAAATAAATAATAAGTATTAGAATAGATAGTTCAAATCAAATAAAACAGTTAAAGAACCATTACGAACAATAATAAATAAGTATCAATGAGAACAAGCTTGGGATGAAGCATGCATAGTTTTATCCTTAGAGAGAAAACGCTTTCATTACCTCATATTAGTGTGTTCTAAAAAAAATCTAAATTTTTTATTTTTTTTAAGAATAAACTTATTTTTATAATTTGAAGGCTTAAAACATAAAATTTAACGAAAATATACTGTCTTTTAATTATGAATATTCATATCACTGAAAATTGTTGATTTTCATAATAATTGTTTTAAAAGTCATGTTTCAAATTCTTTTAATAAGTTAAATAAAAATATTTACATTTATAGTATCTCAAAATAAAAAATTTAAATATAACAAAAATATTTTTAATTTTTTTTTTCTAAAAAGAAAATATTGATCAACGGAAAATTAATCACTCTTAGTGATGAACTATTTTGACTTTCGGATAAATGGTTCATCTATGTCTTATTCTTGTTTAAATAAAACAGAACAAAACATTTGGAGTATCATTAATTATGCAAATTTTTTCAGAAATAAATCAATTAATATTAGTTAAATAAAACATTAAATAGAAAAACACTGAGTGGAATGTAAAGTTATTTCATGCCAGAATTATGATTATAACAACTTGATAAAACAAATAAACATCTAAACTAGTATTAAATAATCCTTAATCACAACAAAAAGTTTTATGGTGAGAATTTTTTCTTATTATGCAAGACAGAACAATTAATTTTATATATGAAATTATATAAATTATATTGATTTATTGTTGATTTATAATATATATATATATATATATATATATTTAAAAGATATAATAATAAAAGGTAAGTTTTAAATTTATAATTACGTTTTTTTATTTGACAAAGTATTCGTTTTTACTTTCTATTAATAATTTTTCAAATACTATTAAACTTGTACACAAAATTAATAATTACAAATACTAAATTTCTTGTCATTTTTATAAGAGTTTTTTTTTTTTTTACACTGTCTATAATTATTACTTTTTTATTAAAATATATTTTGTATTCATAAATAATATGTTTCCCCTTTTTAAGAAGATGAAAGAGTTTAGTTTTAAAAATTAACTTTTTAGTCTTATTCTCAATTCATTCATTATTTAAGGATAATTTAAAAATATACATTACATTATATATGAAGTTAATATTACTAATTAAATTCAGCAATTTTTTTTAATAAATGTAAATAAGTTATAAATGTTTCATATTTATGGAGCTTGTTCATTTAAAATATATTTCTATTAAATGTCCTACTAACTAATATAAGACCTTGATATCTAACCTACCCTTAGTAAGAAAAGTTAGTTAATTTACCTAGTAAAACTAATTTTTTCCTGTAACTATAATATATATTTTTTAAATTACTCTTAAATAATTAATATGAGAAGAAATAATAATGATAATAATAATAATTAAACTCTGTAGTATAATTCATAGAAATTATTAATTATAAAATAAAATAATTAAAGATATTTTGATCAAACAATAATTGATGCAAATTATAATTATAAAACTGTCTTATAAAAAGATGCAAGAAAAATGTCAAAGCAATATGTATAATTAGGAATTAAAAAAAAAAGTATGATTTATTATATAAATAAGTCAATAAATAAATAAAATTATAGAAAAGTGTACCATTTTTTTTTATTTTATGTTGTAAAAATTTGTCCATTTGCTTTGTTTGATTGTATATCTTATCAATTTACTTATTTATTTTTAAATAATATTTGACTAATTTTATTCTTGAAAGAAAAATGTTAATAAATAAAAATTAACATTGTCTTACAAATTAATATTGTTTGCTGTAAATTTTTAATATAATTTATATATTTTTATAATATTATTTTAGAAGAACAACTATAATAATGGAGTTGTTATTTTAAAAGTTGAAATAGTTCAAATAAATAAAGAATAAATAGTTTGTCGTGAAGGGGTGAATGAAAATGAGATTCTATAATTTCAAGTGTGTATATTATTCTTAGTTCAAGTTTAAGTTTTTTCAGTGGCATCATAATTAGAATTTTCTATCATTAATATTTGTAGTATTGTTTAGTTATATTAAATTAGTGTGAATTAGATCCAGGACCGAAGAACTAATTAATTTTTTTTTTAAATATAAATAATAAAAAAAAATCAACCGCAAAATATGTTGTACTCATTAAAAATCATCCATGTTCTCACCCGGAGAGAGATCTGAACAGAAAGAAGAACAAAAAGAAACTCAAAAGAAACAAGTAGAAGAAGATAAATCAAGAATGAGAGAGAGAAGAGAAGAGAAGAGAAGGAAGTAGTACCTTTAGAATGATGATTCTTGAATGGCAGATGCAGCTTCTTCAATGCTGCAACTTCAGGAAACCCTGTTGCCTGTGTTGCCAGCAGAAACAGAGCACAAAAAATCCCCACATTCACACCCATTCGTGACACTTTTCCCCTGTTGTTGGCTTCAGATCTCTCACACTCTTGCTGAAGCTAAATAGTCAAACCTCACCGCAACTGCAGGAAAAAAAATCTCAAAGTTTGGTTGCGGTTGGTACTTCACATTAATCAAATTAAAATGCTCAAAAGATATATATAATGGGGTTTTGTTGGGTATGGGTTGGATTCACTATGTGTTTGTTCCCTTTTGGTCGATTGATCTCTTGTGGCTATTCCTCTTCCTCTTAAAATAAATTATTTTCAAAAAGTTCAGCACTAATTTTTTTTTCCCTTTTCCCACTTTTGCTTCTCATGATTCCTAATGTGTCTCTTTAAATGTACCCTGTGTTTCTATTATGATAACTTTTTGGTTTTTCTGCCCTTATGTGGTCCCTTCCACTGTAGGGTACTCAACTTCCATCCAACTGCACTCACGGATAAAGGAATGAGCTTAACAAATAATCTTTATATCAATCTAAACCATTTTATATTGATCTTCTTTTATTTCATTTTTTTTTTCTCTCTCTATCTTTCAAAGGAGAATCTACAAAGGTGTTAGTTTGAATAATCTTATGTGTGAGAATCTTTTGCTATGAAAATAACATATGCAGTTTTCATAATATATGTATCAAACCAATGTTATTACAGCTCTATAATATTATATATGTCAAATTTTTATTACGCCAAAACATGAGTAGATTTTCATAATAGCCATCCAATATATCTTTCCAGTTACCCAGCCCAAATAAGCTCCTTATTACAGGACATCCTTCCGTCAACGGCACACACAATCCTAGACAACTTAGTTATGAAATTAAAGTTAAAACATGAGTAGAATAAGGGAAAGATATCTGTTTCATGTCCTTCTTTTTCTCTTTACCTTATTTCTTAATTTTATATCTCTTAAAAATCTGATATTTCTCATTTAACACAAAGCATACACTAACATGAAATCCTGTGTGCATAAAACATTCCCAGCTCAAGCAACGCCTCGCACCAACAAAATGATCATGATGCAAGGGGAACCAGCCTTGTCACTCTTATTGCTTCAATTCTTTCAACTACTTTTACTTTTCTCATGCGTAGCATTGAACAGTAATGCAGAAGCATCAACCTCAGGCATCAATGTGTGGCCCAAACCAAGGAACCTCACATGGTCCCCACCATTCCAAACCACCCTCCTCTCTTCTTCTTTCACCATTATCACCACCAACCACCACAACAAACACCTCTCGGCCGCCATCTGTCGCTACCAGAGCCTCATCAAGTCAGAGCACCACCACCCTCTCGTCCCTCTGGGAGTCAACATCTCCAAGGACCTCCCACCACTGCAGTTTCTGAGTATCAGAGTGGTGGACCCTCATGGAGGACTCGTTAATGGCGTGGACGAGTCCTACACTCTCTCCATCCTCCCTTCCCATGCCACCCTCACTGCGGATACCGCATGGGGTGCCATGCGAGGCCTGGAGACCTTCTCGCAGCTCGCATGGGGTAACCCTACACGGGTTCCCGTGGGGGTGTACGCGTGGGATTCTCCACTTTATGTCCACCGCGGACTCATGGTGGATACTGCAAGGAACTACTACCCCGTGAAGGACTTGTTGAGGACAGTGGAAGCCATGAGCATGAACAAGCTCAACGTGCTCCACTTGCATCTCACGGACGCAGAGTCTTTCCCTTTGGTTCTGCCTTCAGACCCTACCTTGGCTGAAAAGGGAGCTTATGCACCTCACATGGTGTACTCACCCGAGGATGTGAAAACACTAGTAGAATTTGGTCTTGATCATGGGGTTCGTGTAATTCCTGAGATTGACACACCTGGTTAGAAACAATTCCTTTTACTTTTGAGGTTTTGTCTTGGTTTTGGATTTTTGCTGTCTGTAACCTCGGTCATACAATCCTTTTTAACTAAACATGTTAAAAGTTTAGGAAAATCAATCTCTTCATTCTGCGCAACAAAGCAATTCCGGTTACTAATGTGTCTGAACTATTAGCCTTAATAGTACATATATAAAAAATTGAATGGGATCCTACCATTGTGTTGAATGAAGTGAACCAATTTGCTGAGTTTTGTTTCAATGGGATCCCACTATAAAGACTATGGGATTATTTAGAAGACTCCTTCTGTCATCCTTAGCTTCATTGCTGATAAGGCTGGAACTTTATCTTAGGAGTTAGTATTTTTCTTTTTCCCTTTTTATGGAAAAGTATGGAGAAACTTCTGCATAAACACTTCTGAAGAGTAAAATAAGAATGAAAAATGATATCAGTTTCTAATGATATCAGTATGGAGTTAGTATTTTTCTTTTTCCCTTTTTGCTCTTTCACATAATTTAGCTTCACAGGTAGAAATTATGTGAATTATGCTAATCACTGATTGATATGAACTACGTAACTGCAGGGCACACAGCATCTTGGGCATTAGCCCACCCTGACATTGTAACTTGTGCCAACATGTTCTGGTGGCCAGCTGGCAGTGATTGGCCTGACAGGCTTGCTTCACAACCAGGAACAGGACATTTGAACCCCTTAAACTCCAAGACTTACAAAGTCCTAAAGAATGTCATACATGACATAACCACATTGTTCCCAGAACCATTCTTCCACTCAGGTGCCGATGAGATAGTACCAGGTTGCTGGAAAACTGACTCCACAATTCAGAAACATCTATCAAATGGTGGAACCCTCAACCAAGTTCTTGAGAAGTATATCAACAGTACTCTCCCTTTCATTGTATCCCTCAACCGCACTGTTATCTATTGGGAAGATGTTTTACTAGATGACACAGTCCATGTGCAATCCAAATTCTTACCAAAGGAACATGTGATTTTGCAGACATGGCAAAATGGACATAGTCACACTAAGAGGATAGTTTCTGCAGGATACCGAACCATTGTGTCATCAGCAGAATTCTATTATCTGGATTGTGGACATGGCACCTACGTTGGAAACAACAGTGCTTATGACAACCAAGATGGAGACACAGGCAATGGTGGCTCTTGGTGTGCACCCTTTAAGACATGGCAAACCATATACAACTATGACATAACATATGGGCTGAGTGAGGAAGAATCAAAATTGGTTTTGGGTGGGGAGGTGGCTCTGTGGTCAGAACAAGCTGATGCAACTGTTTTGGATGCAAGAGTTTGGCCAAGAGCTTCTGCATTGGCAGAGTCACTGTGGTCAGGAAATAGGGATGAAAAGGGTGTGAAGCGATATGCAGATGCTACAGATAGACTGAATGAATGGAGAAGCAGAATGGTAAGCAGAGGAATAGGGGCTGAGCCCATTCAGCCACTTTGGTGTGTTAAGAACCCTGGCATGTGTAATACACAGCATCCAGTCTAGTTCCATTCTTCCTTTGTCACAGAATAAAAAGAAGAATGAATTGAAAATAAGGTTCAATTGAAAACATAGTCATTACACTTAATATCGATTTTTTATAGGAAAAAAGTCTAAATTTTAGTTCTTACACGAAATAGTCCTATTCTTAACATCTCCTTCTTGTTCAAGTCTTGGGATGAAACGAAGTTACACTTCAGATTGATCCTTACCTTATAAAATCTCTATTCTCAACCTATCTTAACATCTCCTTCTTGTTCAAGTATTCGGATGAAACATGTAACGTCATTTTTTTTCTAATTTATTTAATTTCTTAAAAATGGGAATAATTTTTTTTTTTTTACAATATTATTTCTTTATGACAATGAACTTTAAAATTGGTTATGCGTGAATAAATATATATAAATAAGGTGTCGAACATGTTCATACATAACATTCATAATCATAATACATTGTTTTTCAAAATAACTAATCCAACAAGGATCATATTATAATTACATAAAATTGGTACCCTTAAACGATTAGAACTTAATTTAAATTTATACATCTCAAAATAAAGCAAATCCTAATCGAGAGCAGTACCCAAAATTCATAACTTTCTTATACAAGATCATACCCTCCTGAGGATAGGCATTCTTCCATACATATGTATATGATACTCAATCAAACTGTGGTTTCTCCACCACAATTGTTCCATCATTACCTGAAATATAACAGTAAGGATGAGTTTCCTTTTCTCATCACTCCAGAACATTAAACCGAAAATTTTTCCAACCTCTACAATCTAAAACCATATGTAACATTTATAGTCAAACATTTCATTTTTTTTCAATAAAGTATCCCACACAGAAATTTCAAACAATTTCCACAAATCACATTACTCAAACTAAAAACACACAATACATGTTTGTGTTTCATTCGTTCATTTTTGCCACATTTGAAATGTTTATGCACCTAGGATACACTATCAATCCCATCTTTCAATCCATGAAAGGATCACACATAAGTACAGACAACTCTCACAACATAACAAAATTACACACGAGCATAAATGGTTCACAGAAGTATAGATAGTTGTAGGTTGATCTGCACATCACAGATACAATGCTTACGCATAACGATCCCTTGGCAAAAAGACAAAGTCAAAGAGTCAAGTCGGGAGTATAGAGCGTGGCCAAACAATGCACTCTATATTTCCCCAAGATCAATCTGATCTTCTCTTATCTCCTAAGCCCCGGTGTATCTCTCGTACCATCCACACACATATCTCGTCATCGAGTGACACCACCAACTCTTTAACAACAATATATTTGGTATGAACAAACTCTACATCACACAGACCATATCACTATAGACATAATACCCTATTTTTAGATGACCAACATCTCTGACTTAGACTCAGCACATAGTACAAACAACTTATAGACATGATTTCCACTAACTACCATGATTATGAATGCATTAACTATTCATAACGTTTCTTTATACCATTCTTATTAAGCTTTATTTATTTTTCATAAATTTCAAAAATTTGACAGAGTCTCCTTTGTAATTTGGACATTTCCCAATTTACAAATACATTCAAATCAAATTTATAAACACATTTTCCTGCATCAAACAAGAACAATAAAAATTTATCGAGAGTCGGACACTCTCGGACTCAAGCACACATTGCGATCCATCAAATTTTCTAAACTCTTGTTATTCTAATCTTGTGTCCCAAAATGTCTCATTACACTATCATTCTCACATCATACATACTCATAAAATAAATAATAGGTCCAGAACTAAAGTTTTGTTTACACTTCTCTAAGAAGAAAAATCTATCATAAGCATTAGAAAAGTGTAACTTTGGAAAAATTCTTTGCCATCTAAACTAACTCCAAATTCTATGAAATTTTTCAGTCCAAAATACATATATTTTAGGATTATAATAAAAATTATAATTCAAAATTTAAAGATTTCTAAGTCATTCAAAACTTTCCTCCATTTTCATACGTTTTGAAGATTCCACTATCAGGGCATTACTCAAAGATATATTTTTATAAAATAAAATAATGATCATAAAATTATGAAAATAAATACACTTAACATATACCTACAATCACAATTATGATAAAAAATTCATCTCAAAAAAACTTCAATTTCGATTTTCTATGATTTTTCAAAGTTGCTGAGCGAACATAACAATTCTGTTTCACCCAACTCAAAACATATTTACTTCCAAGATTTTTCATCGAAAATCAACTACTCAGAAAATTTTGAAATAAATCACACTCAAACTAGACATATAAAGGAACATGTAATCAAAATTTCAGAATTAAATACCAAGTAAATATTTTTACATAATTTCCCAAAGATTCTATTCACATGTAGATTCTTGTCCAATAACATCTCTCAACACATATTTCATCATCTTCCTCTAGAAAAATCTAATTTAAGTGATTTTTATGGCTAACTCTAGGTTTTAATATCCAAGGAATCCATTTCTAAACTCTAAAATATGAAAGGAGCATTGTAGAGTATCTAAATATACTAGAATAGTCATACGAAATTTTTATAAAACATTTTAATTTGGTTCCAATTAATGTAGAAGTGAGATATATGATGGTTTAGCCTAGGGTTGATGACAAGAAGACTCTTCTTACCTCAAATGAAGCTTTCAAACAAGAAAATAGAGATCCTTAGTTCAAGAAAAGTTTGTCTCCTATAAGCATCAAAATGACTATATATTTGAGATTAAGAAAATTTTAGGAGATAATATTGAAATCCAATGCTTTAATTTCATGAATCTTACTCTTAATTGCAAAAAGGATGAACCAAGATGGTGTGGGCAAGCAAAATCAAGCTTCTCTTCTTCCTCCAGTGCTCCCAAAATGGTTTCCGTAAGTGAGAAAGAAAATTGATATTTCTCTTCTTTAAATTTAACCTCCTTTCCAAAATTACCCTCACTTACTTTTTCACTTACCAATTAAATCCTTTCATCAATGGTAAATTATATTACTAATTTTGCTTAATGATATTACTCTTATTATTATTATTATTACTTCATTTTAAACTCAATTGTAAATTTATCTATTTTACTCTATTAAAAATTTCATAATATATATATATATATATTATTTATTAATATCTTTAAAAATTATCAAGTCTTAAAATAACTCATAATACCATTTTATTAAAGTTAATGACAAAATATTTTATTATATTAATAAAATATTTTTGGGAAATACTGGATGTTAGAAAACAAAGTTACACTTCGGATTGTAACGTTGTTGTAACGTAGACAACCCATGAGTATTCTGTAAAGGGAGTCATTCAAGCTAACCTTCTCCTGCATATTATTGTATTTATTTTGCCCAGCTTCTGTGTGGTTTTCACGGAGGAATAAATGTTTGTTTGGTTTATAACTAAAATCAAATGTGTGGGTGAAATTAATCTAGATGCACATTTCAATTATTGAAAATTAATTTTACATGGATCCCATTGCAAATTGATTTAAGAGAAATGGAGACATATTAAATATGATTATCAGGACCATTATATTATTATCAAACCACTTAAAAATGTTGACTAATCTTGTTTGCAATATTTTAATAGTTGAAGGTCCAATAAGTTTAGCACACAATAAGGATTACATATAAGATTTGTTACATGAATTATCCTCGTAACGTACATGAGTAAAGTGACTAATTTCATTGTCAACCGATTAAATAAACTAAAAGAGAGTATATAAATGAAATATAAATTCGATGAATTAATTTAGAAAACTAAATTATATCTAAAGTTAAATTCTAAAATTCTCAATATGGGGATTAGGTTTTATAAAAGATAACTGCATAATTTTAGCTTTGTAGCATATTTTTGCATCTCTATTGTTTATTAAGTATGAGTTTATTAGTTTAATCATCACTTATACGTGTGTTCATTTTCCTTTCAATTCAATAATACAACTCTCTTTCTCTCATCTTCAACAATTCATCTTGTTTATCAATTAAAATCACAACTTAAAGGAATAAAAAATTAGATTATTTGAATTCATATCTTCTTGCTATCAAGAAGATCATTAATACCTTGATATCAGTTGGTTCACCTATTCATCTGCAAAACATATTTAGATTATCCTAGATGGTCTATCAAGTGAGTATATAATCCTCTTGTTACTTTTATCATTTCAAGAACTAACAGATGGCAAAATAGAAACTTTGTTAATCACTATGGAGAAAAAGGCTAGAAAGACAAAAACAAAAAGAACAAAAATCCTTGAATATGCAAGCAAATTATGCTCAATTTCTAGCAGACTTTCAAAGAAGAGGACAAGGATATTTTAGAGACTCAGTGAAACAAAATAATAGAGGAAGAAATAGACAAAATTTTAGAGGTGACAAGAATTTTGGAAGAGGACCTGTCATGGCTACGAAACAAAACAACTATGATAAATTGATGGGTCAATGCATTAAGTCAAGTGAATACAAAATTAACTTAATTTCAAAATCAAATAAATACATACAAATTGATGGAAGGAATACTTGACTTTTTCAAAATACTTAAATGATCATGACATTTTTCATAGAATAAGTTGCCCATATACACATGAGCGGAATGGAAGTGTAAAAAAAAAAAACATAGAGATATAGTTGATATGAGATTGTCTCTTTTGGGAGAAACCTTTTGAGTTGTTGTTTATATAATAAATAGACTTCCAACACATACTTATTAGTTAATTTCCCCAATTGAAAAACTTTTTTCTTCAAAACCTTAATACATAATAATCTTAAGGTGTTTGGATGTGCTTGTTACCCTTACTTGAGACCATACAACAAACATAAATTTGATTTTAGCTTAGAAGAATGCATATTCATTGGTTACAAACCTTCCTACAAAGATTATTTGTATCTATCATCTTCAGGAAAAATCTTTACTTGTAGGCATGTTTTGTTCAATGAACATGTATTTCTCTTTGTTACTAATTCAACATTCTCTAGTTCATGCAGAACTAGGCTTGA